CATTAAGAAGAGAAAAAGATGGTAACATCCCAGCACAAGTGTGGAAATCATCTATGTTGGTGGCAGCAGATGCACGTGACAGATGCCTAGGAGGATAACAGGAGCCTAATAGAGGTGAAGAGGCATCTGTATGGGGTGGGGTAAAAGAACTACCTGGGAATAGTGAAAGAAAATAAACTAGATGAGTTATAAATGAAGAATAATGGAAACCAAGTCACAAACCAGTGAAGAGAGAAATAGCAGATTATTACGATATCCAACTGAAAATGTAGGTTTTGGCATGAGCTCATGCTTTCAACATACAGTATCAATGGCAGTTGCTGAGTTTGTGTTGTGTTTATTAACAAGTATAACAGATTTGTAGTATGTACACTTTGGATTATATTGGCCAGCTGTATCCACTGAGATGTGGAAATGAGACACCCCTGTACTTGGCTTCTAAGTATTCCTAACTAAAGGAAACCAGGGCTCTTCAAATACTTGATTGATTCTAGGCCTGGGAAAGCACTGATCCCAGAAGAGCTGAGAATGCATCATTACACTAGAAAGTAAGAGGTGGCCAAAGAATGTAGGTGAGGTCACGATGAAACAGTGAGTGCTTGCTTAAAGTCACACCCACTGACCCAAAATGAACAGTGTAAGCATTAAAATATTTACAATACAAAGATCCTAATCTACTTCATAAGACAGGAACACGTAATCCCATACTGATATAAACAAAAAAAAAGGTGAATACATAAATTGATAGAGAAGAAAGCTTTTAGGTACAATGGAATGTAGATTATAGAAGGATGGAAACAGTCAACTCAGCATAGCCTAAATCCATTTGAAGACAGAAATATCCCTCTGTGGCTGTACTAGTGTGGAATTTTTTAGGCTACTGGTCCTAAGGTAAGAACAATGAATGGCAGGAGGCACAGACCTTAAGTACTCTCACAAGGCCTTTAGCCACTTCTTTTCATTTCCTCAGTATTTAGGGAAATTCATCATCTTCCCTAGTTTTACATCACACTCTAATAGAGTAGACGTCTTCCATACATCTGAGATCTTCCATTATCACCCCAGAGCATGAACATCATCATTAATCATCAGAGGGAAAGTGATTCTAATTCATGACACAAATGTTCAACTATTTTCATGGAAATTTGTGACAGAATATACCTTTAGTTCTTTGAAACTGCTTAGAGCTTAAAGTACAAATTTTAAATAATTCAACTGATTATGATTATACTAACCGGGCTGTTGATGTTCTACTATGGTAATAGATAAAGGTTTTAAAAGCTTTAAAGTTGGTGAAGAGACAGGTAGAAGGTATTTTAGGCTTTTATGCTGGGCGGTCTGGAGAAAACCCAACTTTATCATTGAGCAATGACAGTAGGCCATAGCACAGTTAGTTTAGTTGTGTGTCATAAAACACTAGCTACTGACACATGAGTTTAATAGAACACTCACATGATATATATAGTGTGCTGTTCTCACTTTTACACTTTCCACTTGAAAATGCAAAGTTGTTTTTAGTGTGTGGGCTGTATAAAAGTGAACACTGTTCTAGATATATCCCTCTTGCTGTAGCTTATAGATTTCTTCTTGAAGACAACAGGATAACAATTTTAACATATTTTCAGGATTTCTTTCATAAATGGCATACTTTTGTGCATTCATTATAGTTTTTACAGATACTTCTAAGAATCATTATTCTTGTGCATCCATAATCTAGGTAATAGTATGTCTTGAAGAGAATAAATGTGTTCCTACCTTCCTTTGAGGTCCTCATAAAGCCCAGAAGTCCAAACTATTTTAGGAGAATCGAGCTGGTGGGGAGAATAAGACTGAGTAGATTAATAACCTTATTTTAGATCATTAGTACAAGGCCGGCTTTGATCCTGAGGTGCTGTGAAAGAAAATAGCCCCCAAAGGGAGGGGCACTATTTGGAGGTGTGGCCTTTTTGGAATAGATGTGGTCTCGTTGGAGGATGTATGTCACAGTGTAGGCAGGCTTTGAGGTCTCATATATGCTCATGATCCCCCCCCCCCAGTGTCTGTTGCCTGCCTATGAAGATGCAAAGACTTTCAACTCTAGCACCATGTCTGCCTGCATGCTCCCTTACTTCCTGCCATAATGATAACGGACTAAACCTCTGAACTGTAAGCAAGCCACCCCAATTAAATGGTTTTCTTTATAAGAGTTGCTATGCTCATGGTGTTTCTTCACAGCAATAGAAACCTAACTATGACTTTGGTTATATATGATTTTCAATTATGTGTGATCTCTTTTTCCTTAATACTCTTATTTAACCCTTGAATTGGTTGTTTTAGAATGGGCCGGTGTGAATGAAGCATCGGTGAGTCTCAGAAGGAAAACTAAAAAAAAACTAAATATTTTGAAAGATGTGATTGTCAGTCTTAGTCAACTTGATGCGATTTAGAATCACCATGAAAATGAACCCCTGGGCATGCCTGGGTATGTTATTTTAGATTTGGTTAATTGAGGAATATGGGAGATAGCATTCCCTGGCCTAGACTCTCAGACTGAATAAAAAGGAGCGGAGTGGGTGCATTCATCTCTCTCTGCTTTCTTACTGTGCATACAACATGCAACTGAGCTGCTTCAAGGTCCTGCTGTGATGGCTTTTCACCACACTGGACTGTGAGCCAAAATAACCCCTTCCTTGAGTTACACACGTCAGGTACTTTGTTAAAAGTAACAAGACTAGTAACTAAAATAGACATGATTGCATATATTTTATTCATTTTTAAGGTTGCCAGAAAAAAAAAAGTTCAGGCCAGCCAGGTGTGGTGGTGTATGCCTATACTCTCAGCAAGAGGGGAGGCCAGCCTGGACTAACAAACCCTGGTAATATGATCTTTGTATATGTTTCTAAACACTGTCAAAAGTCACCAAGCCTGTTTTTTTCTATACTTAACAGATCATATAGTTTACAGACTAAAATGGCATTTTCAAAGTTAACATGTTGCTTATTTTTATCAGAGTAATGTCTTGTTCTTGTTTTAGAGTTCACTAACTCTCTACAATAATTCTATGAATTAAGTAGGGGAGTCAAAACTCAGGATCAAAAGAAAAAAAATATAGGTCTAAGTTAGGTCTGGTCAGTGTAATCTTTTATCTCTGATAATTGTGAAGATGAGGATTGTTCTTCCAGCCATGACTCAATCCAGGAAATCAAACGATTATCAGGAGTTTGCTGGTTACAATACTTAAACCAGTTGAACTATCAGGCCATTGTCCAAAAGCCTGGTTGTTTTCCCTTAGTGGTGCCTTCATTTTCTTCCCAGTTGCTGGATGGGTGGTCACTTGAAGCTTCAGTTTCACAGCATTCTGAGGAAACATCACTTAGTCCAAGCAGCAACATGCCTTAGGGAAGGACTTCATTACCTGACTAGGACCACTTAACGTAATAAAAGTTGTTATCCAGAAAGGGATGCTGAGCAAATAATCAATGTCTGAAGTGCCTTCTACAAAGGAGGCACAGGGAAATAAATGAACTTTTCCTAGCTTGCATTGTTGGCTGGTATAACATAACACAGAAACTAATATCTCCTTACCTTGTATAATTTTTGTTTTTTACTTGTATAAGCATGCTATTTTCTTGATGGATGTCACAATTGTAGACTAGAAACTAGCCTTCAGATTTTACCACCGCAATGTCATTCTTTTACACATGTTGCATTGTCTTTTACAAACATGTCAATAACTTCACATTTAAGGAACATAATCATGTCCCTCTTATTTGCATCAGTATTTATAACTGGTTTTGCACAACAACTTAATGATTTTTCTGTAGCTCTGGTTTAGTTTTGACTTCACTTTCACCCCCACACAATGGAGACTTTTATTTATTTAATTTTTGCCTTGCTTGGGGCCAGAGGGCTCTGATCCAAGGGCATCATCACATATGTTATGAGCTTCACAGGCATTTTGAATTTGCATTATAAGGTACTTTAGAAGTGGATCTTCAGAAAGAATACAAACTATAAATAAATGTGTTAACAGGTAATTGTGTTTCCTTCCGGAATTTATTCCTTACTTTTCTGTGTCAGATATGATATAAAAATAGTGATTCACTTTAAGAATTGATCATCGTTCTATAAGCAGATGTAGGACTGATTTGGTGCAAGGAGGACTTGAGATGATGCCAGTTGTGGTGGACCATCAGAAGTGGCTTCAGCTCTGGGCCTGAATGATGTCCAATGATCCCTTGCAGAAGGCAGTGGGATCATTGATTTATTTTGGCATAGAGCAAACAGCTGTCAGAATACTTCTAAGATTCACAATTACATATAAATGTCAACATTTCATTTATTTGAAAACTGCTTTCCCTGTGACATCTACGAAATAAGTGGAAACATGTGGAAACAGCTATGTGAATAGCTTCTTGGAAAATGTGAATTTTTTTTCTGAAACTCCTAACGCGAAATGTGCAGACCCACAGAGAACGGAGAAGGGACTTCTCGAGTTTTCTCAAAAGTTCCTCATGAACTCAGTTTGCATATAATATATATATGTCTATATATATATATTATTGTTAATGATTCCTTGTACATCTGCTGTGTTGTAAGAAATTTTCTTTTTGAAACAGGAATGCGAACTTTTTCCTCAGTGTGATGCTGGTCCAGCCCTGAAGCCGCCCGTAGTCACAGCGCCACCTGCCGGACATCCCATAGCCGCAGCTTCGGCTGGTGACTCCGAGCTTCTCCGGATCGGAGAACTCCGGCGGCCTTG